CAGGAAAAAAAAACTCAGCAAGGCATCCATGCAAACAGACCTGGCCTTCGCCCTCAGCCCTGCTTCCTAGGTAAAAGGGTCCAGGGTCCTGGAACACAGTCTTTTAAGGAGACAAAAAGAAAGCTCAGGAAAAAAAAACTCAGCAAGGCATCCATGCAAACAGACCTGGCCTTCGCCCTCAGCCCAGTGCAGAGAAATTTCTCTATTCTGAGAAAAGAAGGATTGCTTTCTTCTAGTTTTTTTTTATCAAGAGCAAGTGGCTGTAAGATGCATTTCCTTGGTTTCTATGCCCTGCTGACAGCTTCTGCAAATAGCACAGATGCACTAATAATGTGTTTCATTATCATCTTTAGCCCTAGTTCGAATATTATTGTTTACCAGTCACTTCCTGTTACAATGCAAAGCAGAAAACTGGCAGTGTAAGGGAAAAGCAATGCATCTGATGGCTACTCTTCATTTGAATATCTTCAGTCAAAGACTATGAAAAAAAATGGATGCAAAAATATATTTAAAAAAAATTAAAGCCAGGGGAAAATGACAGACATTTGGGAGAAGAAATGTCGATGTTGTAAGTGAGAGTTCCACTAAAAAGGACTTTGAAAGGGGGCTTTTTGTTTGTTTGTTTGTTTGTTTGTTTTCAAGATAAGCTGAACTGGATATTTGTGGAACTGAACATTGCTGCTCAAACAACACAATTACTGAAAGAAAGCCCTGCTTGTCTTTTGCAGACATCACAAAAAAAGATGTTCACGATCATGCATCTGGCAAATTCACCAAGTATAGAAGTTAGCAACTGTCTTCTTTCCAAACCAGTATGCAGTTTTAATTAGCTCATGTCCTATGATCAAGTCACATGGGAAGACAAAGAACTTCCACTGGCAGCTTCTCTTGGCTGCCTCACCTTAGAATACAAAACGTCGCTGCCATCACTATCATAAATGTTTGCAAGAATATAACCCCCCCCTTTTTTTTGGAAAGCATTCTCTGTTGCCCCCCACTCTCTCTTCCCCCAAACATTTGAAATAGCTCCAGCACCAAGAATTCAAAGAGGATCATTGTGCCTTTAGACTCAAGAGCTGGCAACGGGGAAGATGTGAGGGAAAAAACGGTCTGTGCTCTGATCCTCAGCTAGGAGTTCATTTTTTAATTTCTTTTGAAATATTTTTTACCCCATATCTCTCCTTAAAAGGCCCCAAGATGGCTTACATCATTAAGAAAATATTTTAAAGCGGGGGAAAAAACCCAGTTAAGCATACAAATATTTAAAAGAGTTAAACAAGTATTATATTTTTTAAAAGGTAAATAAAAATCACTACTAAAACACATTTGAAAGCAACAGAACACAACAATCCATTTAAGGCACTGGGTAAGGAAATAAAGAATTCCAGATCCAAATGCTACACAGCAGGTCTACCCTTTTCTTTTTGTTATTTTCTTTTATTTTCTGACCACCAAGCTACTAATGTCTTGATAATTACTTACACATTTCAGAAGCATATCCTTCTATGCATGGCAATGCAAAAGTGTGAAAAAGCACCACCCCACCCATCCATGGGCCAAAATCTCAGAACAATACGTTCCCTCGGCTCACCCCATGGTCTACTTATGCATTTTGACTGTCATCTTAGACTTCTAGGTGCTTATAATAAACCTTTTTGCTTAACCCTAATATTAGGAACAGCAACTTATTCCTGTAATACTAGTGCAATTGGATAGGGCTTTAGATGATGTAAAGGCACATGATGGCATTCTTTTGCTGGGGTAAACTCGCACACTGCTTGGGAAAGGAACTGTGTGAGGAAAACACCTAAGGCAATCTGAACCCCTAGAAGAAACAGTGGAATACAGTGAAATACATTCATGAATGACTGAGTCAAGGGGTGAAATGTCAAAACGATCAATCAAATAATCACAGGAGATGATAATACTTACAAGAGGTAGGAACATGACCCCTTGAGGGTAAAGAAGTGTTCTAGAAACTTCTAATACAGCTCCACTACCAAGGGCCTGTATGCTTTGCATCTACACTTACCATTCTTGGAGAGGATAACAGCCAAATAATCATGAGACGAGGAGTTGAGGTAGAACAGGAGGCTCGGTGCATGTGCTGTCAGGAAGGTAAAGGCAATGTTCTCTTTGGATGTAGACGTGTCCGCATAAATAGCAGAAGATGTAGAACTTGCATTTTTGGTCACAGGATAAGGCTCCTGGAAAATGTAGGTAATGGAAGTGCCAGCTTCAAAAAGTGCAGAGACCTCTAAAAAGAGACACACACACAAAGAAAAAGCAAGAGACCATATGAAAAGCTCTGCTACTTTACACCTATCTAGTGCAGCAGTCTTCCACAGTGGCCAAGTTGCATAGCAAACCACTGGGGATGTTGAGACGGAGACCTTCAGAATCAACAGGACTATCTCAGTTTACTCTTTCGTCCTCCCTCTCTGTATTTTGCTCACCAGAGAAGCACTAGCAACACGACATAAACACAACACGGTTAAACCTACAAGAGCCAACTCCAGCTAAATAGTAAAACAGGAATGGGCCAAGTGAGGTCTCTAAGTAATGTTTAGATTGCTATTCTTCACCTATGGATGACAGATGATGCTGCCTGGGCTAATGAGAAGGAAGAAGGAAATGCAAAAATGGCAGGTTCAGCATACAACCAATATGGCTGTCACATGCTCAGACACAAGCCCTACCCTTTTCTTACATCCACTCCATGCCATTCTTAGGTGACCCAAACTTAACCGATAAGGCAGCAAAACTCCACACATTGAAACTACTAATTACGACTCTGGAAATTCCACTGAATATCTTGTGTGAGGCTGTAGTGTGTTGGTGGGTAAGGAGCCAATCTGAGCTGAAAAACTGGCATTTGTGTGTGCACAAACACATAAGTTAGAGTCCCCAGAGTAAACTGAGTGACTGAAATCCAGAAGTAAGTCAAGCTAGAGTAAACCCGCTGAATCAGCATGAATTTGGTGAGTCAACTCCTCCATAAGTTCCATTGATTCAATGGGCTTACTCTAGCTGCAATATACTACTGGATTTCAATCACTGTTACCAGAAAATAGAAGAGAAGTGGTCTCAGAAATAAGACAGAACAAAGCAGATAGAATGGTCCTTGAATAAAGACTGATTAACAGGTGGTAGTGATTTTCAGGAAAATATTAATGTTATCCAGAGGCCTGATTTTTGGATTACTGAGAATTTGCAGCAACATGTTCAAATATTGAAAGGTGGCATATAAAGAATTCACTGGCAACAGTGAAAAAAGCAGCATAAAATATCTCAGCATGCCCTCTGTCATTCTACAGTCTCTGCCCTGATGCTGGTGTTCCAGATTTTACAATGGCAATTGTTAACAAAGTATTTGTTTAGGTGCTTGCTCTCAAAGTGATTGACTTCTGATTGCCAATGGCAGCAATGGTTAACACAGAAATCTGAGCACCCAGTTTTCACACACACACACACACACACACACACACACACACACACACACACACTCATGGGCACACATTTATATGCAAACTTGCACATCGGAGTATTTCAGTGTTTTATCAGCTGCATTTCTTATTTTACGGAGGACAGGCTGCACTGAAAAAGGTACCTTTGGTCCCGTGCCTACATGCAGTACATTGTTATGCTAGTGTAGGGCCTAAAATGGAAATGCTCGAACAGATCCTTGCTGTGATTTCAGTGTTGAGGACGATTATAGGGGATTATTAGGACATTCCCCCAAGAACCTTTCATCTGAAGCATGTGTTCTTTTCCTTCTTTTTTTCCCCTCTGTATAAGGCAACTTCTGTTGAGAAACGGCTGAGAGGCCATTGTATCCAGTCTCCTGAAAGCCATTTTCCTCTCTTCACCGCCATCTCATTTGACTTACAATTACATGAACACTGAATATTGATTTCTGAGGCTGTTCCCAAGGTGAAGGATAAGATGAATCTCTGATTCACGGAATTGTCCTGTTTGAGCCTGGCAAATAATTAGAGCTTGATGGAATGGATGTTCTGCCAAAGCCGTAAGTTCAGTGAAAAAGGGAAAGTTGAATATTCCAAATAATTCATGTGTGACCCAGGTCTGAAATTTTAGGCTGATTGGAATAGACTTTGTAGTTTCTCAGACCCACTTTGGGAATCTGGAGTTTAATTATTTATTGCCCTGCAGGTTATTATGCATCTGAGGAAGCTGGATGAGGTAAAGGGCAAAATTTCCTCATTAACTATCACGATAAGGAGTAATGTATTATACTTATAATTTCTAGGACTGAGCAGATAGCCTCCCAAAATATTCTACCCTCATTTTTTGATAAAAATTGAGAAGCATATTAACTAAATTTCTCTAGAGGAATGAGGAATTTCAACAATTTCCCAGCAGTGTGGGACTCATCATTAACAGCAGAAGTAGATATGCTTATTTCCATTTTCCTAAGGTCCAGCAGCAACTACGTTAGCTGTCTAGCATAGTTGCTGCTGGACCTTTTACCATTTATCTCCTCCACAATGCCCCACCATGTAGCACCACTCTGGAGTATTTTGAGTTGGAGGGGTTAGTGGCTGGCATACCAAGAAAAAAAAAAGCTGACATAAACTTGCATAGTGAACATAGCGTATAAAAAAAAGAAAAACTTTAATAATTTTGCTTGAAAAAATGTTTTCTGAGAAATCTCAACGTGGCATTCAATTAAATTTTAACCTATTGATTCAATGCCATATTCACATTCCCAAATTAGCTCATGACTGGAGATGGGCATAAAGTTCAGTTTGGAGGTTCATGGCAGTTCCCTTCCTCCTGCTCCCTGGCCAATCATCCACCGACCAGTCAAAGCATGCTCCTCTCCTCTTCCTCTTTGGCTGTTTGACCAGTGCCCAGCAGGAGCATGGGTTTGTCTTTCCTGCCTCCTTTTCTGAGTGGGCAGTCAGCCAAGGAGGCAAAGCAGGGAAGCCCATGTTTTTGCCAGAGACTAGTCAATCAGCTAAAGAGAAGGAGGAGATGAGTATGTGCTGGCTGGTGAGTGGGGGATCCAGCCGGGGAAGTGGGGGAAGGGAACACATGGCACCACAGCTTTATGTCCAACTCTCACCTAGACAAAATACGACAATTCGTTAAAAAATTAGGTTAAAAAAAACACAAGTAATTGTAATACAGTGGTACCTTGCTTAACAATGATAATCCGTTCCAGGAAAATCGCCGTTAAGCAAAAACATCGTAAAGCGAAATTAAAAACCCCATTGAAACGCACTGAAAACTGTTCAGTGCGTTCCGGTGGGGTAAAAACTCACCGTCCAGCGAAGATCCTCCATACTGTGGCCGTTTTCGCTGCCTGTATAGCGAGGAATCTGTCCCTAAGCACAGCGGGGAGCCATTTTAAGCACCCGGTGGCCATTTTGAAAACCCAACAATCAGCTGTTTTTGATCGTCGTAAAGCAAAAATCAGTTCCCGAAGCAGGGAACTGATCATCGCTAAGCAAAATTCCCCCATTTAGACCATTGTTTTGCGATCGCAAAAAGATTGTCGTAAAGTGGATTTGTTGTAATGCGGGGCAATCGTTAAGTGAGGCACCACTGTACAATAGATGTACAATGTGGGATGCGAATGTGAAATAATTGGTAAAATGCAAGCACAGCATTTAAAAAAGACCTTGAAAAATGGAAAGAAAAAAAATCTTAACTAGGCACTGAAAATTTTATAGGCTGTTACATCTCTGGGGAAGACTGTTCATATGCCAGATGCAAAAGCTGAGAAGGTTTTTGTTCCTGGTCACCACACAACTTAAATTAGATGGTTGGGGTATCTAGCAAAGAGATGTCACAGCTCTACCATTGGGCAGAGTGAAGCAAATAGGCTTTTGCTGTCCTAGAAAGCAAAGCTGAATGTGCAACATACCTTCCCCTTCAGCCCTTGAACTAGTCTGCTACTCTCAGGTGTGGCGGAGCATACTCTCACATTTCCAGTGTGAAGGAAAGATTCACCAGCTAATCTATTCAATTTTGTAGAAGGATTGGAGGGGCAAACCATATGTCACTTTGCCTCAAAATATTTTAAGCCGGCCCTACCTCGGGTCAATATTTTGGCTGGCTTTAATACACTCATGTCCTGATTTCAAGGTATGAACACATTAACACAGCAATAATGTGGCCTTTAAAATATCTGATTTCCAAGTCACAGAGAGTTTTAAATGAAGGCATCATAGGAAGTGTGAAAAGAGGAAGTAAAAAATGGAATAATTCTCTGATTGGGACACAAAGTCTACAGAAAACCCACCCACACAGACTGGGACCTACACAAAAACTCCAACCACCACCCATAGCAAAAAAGAGGCATAATCAAAACTCTGGTCGACCGTGCAAATCGGAACTGTGAAGCTGAAGTCAACCATCTAAATTGGGCCCTACAGGCAATTGGCTATTCCAAAAATGAAATCACAAGAGCCCTCAAACCAAGAAAACTGAAGAAGAAAAACAGCCACCCACAAATAAAGTATTTCTGCCATACATCAAAGGGGTCACAGACCGCATAGGGGAACTTTTGAAAAAACACAACCTACAAACAGTATTCAAGCCCACCACAAAAATACAACAAATGTTACGGTCAGCAAAAGACAGAAGGGACCCCCTCACCACTGCAGGAGTATACTGGATACCTTGCAGTTGTGGCCAGGTATATATAGTGGTGCCCCGCATGACGATGATAATCCGTTCCATAGAAATTGCTGTCTTGTGAAAACATCATCTTGCAAAAACCGTTTCCCCATTGGAATGCACTGAAACCCATTTAATGTGTTGCAATGGGGAAAATTGTCATCATTTTGCGAAGATTGCCAGTAGGGAAGCCACTTTGTGAAGCACTGATCAGCTGTTAAAATGGCTGTCCTGCGAAGCATTGGTCCCGAAAACACCTGTTTTGCAGAGCGCCGATCAGTGTCAAAATCATCATCTTGCGAGAAACGGTTTGCAAAGCATGGACCCAAACATCGTCCAGAGAAAATCGTCCATCGGAATCACTGTTTTGCGAATCGCTATAGCAATCACAAAACCTCATCGTCATGCGGATTCGTTGTTTTGTGAGGTTGTCTAGCGGGCACCACTGTATTGGAACCACAAAACGAAGCATCCACACCAGAATCAAGGAACATGAGAGACACTGCAGACTAAAACAACTCGAAAAATTGGCAGTAGCTGAACATGCCCTAAAACAAGCTGGACATGAAATTCTATTTCAAAATACTGAAATACTGGACAACACCAGCAATCATTATGTTAGACTGCACAGGGAATCCATTGAAATCCACAAACATCAGCAGAGTTTCAACAAAAAAGAAGAAAGTTTAAAACTGAATAAAGCTTGGCTCCCAGCACTGAAAAATACAGCCTGCAAAAGGTCACAAACTCTACCCAGCCACAAGGACTGGTGATCACTACACACAAAAGACCAGCTAATAACACCCATCAAGCACAGTGACAGATAATCTCTCCTCCTTATCACAACAATAGACCCACACAAAATACACTGATACCATGATCACCCATCTCCTGAATAGGGCAAAAGCTGAACTCACAGCTATAAATACTCAAGTCTCCAACTAACTGCATCAGAGCACAGCGTGCTACTCCTGTCCTGGTGAAACGTTAGGAAGAACAACCTTCAGAACACAGCCAAAAAACCCACAACAACCAGTATAATTCTCCTTTAAAAAACAAACAAGCAAAACAGTGCAGCTGCTGCTCTATGTCCACTTCCAGGTATAAACATAGCCTCATTATAGTAATGAAAATAAGTTTGATATTCTGGAAGCAGCGACAACTATTCCATTCCAGTTTTCTGACTAATTATTCTCTTGCCTCATATTGGTTCTAATCTCCTAATGTGAGTTCCTTATATGAATGTCACACATTCCGAACTATCTGGTATCATACAAGTTCTGTTTAACTAGTCCAACACTGAACAAATTAAACTGAATTTTTTAATTATACACAATTTGCCAAGAGGTTCTAATAATTGGAAAGTAACATTAAAAACCAACAGTTCTTTACATTGAAGTAATAGGTTCTATCCAGTTGCTTCACAGAGTGAATTCTGATCAGCTTTAGTTTGACTTGACGGGGCGAAGACAAAGAATCTGCTATAGGTCCATACCTTCTCTGCAGAATGGTCCTTCATATGGAGAATGGGTGCAGTCACACAAGTAGCCGTTGACCTTTTCTACACATTTTCCCCCATTGTGGCAAAGGTTGCCATAACTGCTGCAGTGTCCAGGACATCCAGGCTTGACACCAGGGGTCACTTTGGCCCTTTCTTCTAGGTCTAGTTTCTGCCCATTTAGTTGAAGATGGCGAATACACCCCATAAAACCTCTCTGTCTGGAAGCACTTGCACCTGTATGTAGGAGAAAAAGAAGATACAACTTGCATTTCAGCTCTCAAGTCTTCAGCAGAATAAAGCCCTTAGTAAAGTTTTCTCCAAATATCTAGTCGGAAGGCAATTCAGAAATTGTAAAATACTATCCCCAGAAATACACAAATTAATGAGGATTTGGGCTTGTTGCATATGCAGAGAAGGCTGCCCGTACCAGTACATAGAGGAAAAGAGATGTAGGGTGTCATGGCAAGCTAGCAGATTCTTAATTATTAATGTATTATTGTGATTTATTTATATCCATGTTTCTTCTTGGCAAATTAAGTGGTTTGGCCAAGGAGCAGGACTTCCCAGGGAAAGGTGCCTTTTTGGCACATCTTTAGGCAGCAAAATGTCTTTGCATGACCCTGCATGAAGTGGGCATGTAACCTGGACCTCCTGTATCTAGTTGGCCTCCCTTCCAGTAGTAGAACAAAAGGCTAACATACAGGGTTTATTTTAGTGGAGACAACTGTCAGAAGAGAGCTAATGAGCTGAAAGCTAACACAGGCATTGGCTTTGGAGACTTGGTGCATTTGTCCTGAGGCACTTATTGTCTTAAAACAGCTTCCTATGTTCCAAATTAACCGCAGAGAAGCCTTCTTGCGGACTTCTACAGTATCCAAAAATAAAATCTGAAGCACCTGTAATAAGGATTTGCTGTACCCAGAACTAATTATATTCACCTTTCTGGAATTGCCCGGCACAGGAGTGACTCTCTTGTGGTCTCTGTTTTATTAAATCCTACCAATGTAGGGCTAATCTAGCAGCTCATGGAGGGTCTATAGCTCAGGACAAGCATTGCTATTACACAGTCCTGTCATTTTTCTTTATGTTATCCAGTTAAAAGAGATAGATCTACACTATCAGGTTAGGAAAAATCTTGCTTATACACCCTGCAGAAATCCTTAAGAGTAAATGCAACTTCCCGGTGCAGGCAATGAAGTGGGATACACTCCTTATCAACCTTTTGGTTAGGATGAAAGTGTTCTCTGGGTGGGATGGGAAAATGAAAACCCCTTTTTGTCATGGGCAGACCAATTTATTTGGCAGGATTTCCTTTACAGGGACTCTTAATCTTTCTAGGTTCTTAGAGAACCTGTTAAATTGGTCTGTCCTTGGAAACTAATTGAGTCGGGGAATTTCAGACTGCCCTGTGAAACTTCTGTCAAAATCAGGTCTTCTGTCAAAATCCTGGCTGATCTATGGGAGGCAAAGACGTTGACACACTGGCTCCTAAAAATATTCTTTCATATTGCTAAACCCAGACTCCCAGGTTTTCTAAGGAGCTTAGATATAAGAAAAACCATTCTGGGTACAATTAAAGATGTCTCAGAGACCATATCAGTCCCTATTTGGATTAGTGAAGACAATACAGAAATATTTCTTCTCCACTTCCATTGTGTCATCTCAGTGTCACCAAGCAAGTTTCTTATGGGTGGTTAAAAAGTTCCTACTTCCTGCTTCCCATGGTAGTAAAGGAGAATGATCGGAATCCACTGAAATGGCTGCATAATACTTTGGTGATAAAGTCACTGGTATCTGCTCTGACTTTGACTTCATGAAAAAAAATAGAGTTCAGTGAAATGCTTGAGGTTGTATTCTGCCCATGAATGATGCATGACTCTCAGTCTTCCCCTTTGGATAAGGATTTCTTTTGGATGAAATGGGACTTGCTTGGGAACAGAAACAGCCTTGATCACCTTGATGGGTGACCTCTGTGACAAACTAGAGGGAGTGCATACATCTTGGTTCTGTTGAGACTCAGCAAAATTCAGGTACTATCGTCATGACGTGTTCTGACTATAATAGACTTGGAGGCTCTGCATTGTTTTGATTCTGATTCTATTCAGCTGAACATACCCAGAAGCTAGTTTGGGAAGACTGTTTTTTTTTTTTTTTTTTTTAATTCTGATTCTATTCTGCTGAACATACCCAGAAGCTAGTTTTGGAAGACTGTTTTTTTTTGGGGGGGGGGCTGTCACAACTGACTCATAGGGCTTTTCAGGATTTCTTCTTTCCTTCCCACATTTTAATATGTACTTGAAAACCCCAATATGCAGTACTCGAACTGACAGGGGTTGGACTCGATAATCCTTACTGTCCCTTCCAGATCTGCAGTTAAATGATTATGTCATTATTATTCCTCTTTTTAAATTGATATCAAGAAGGCTAAAAATACTGAGCTGCCATCTAAGTACTATGAGAGAGGGTACGTGGAAGAATCTGGGTTTTGATCCAGATAATGCAGAGATCCTGTTGCTCAGTGTAAAAAACAGCCTTAGACTGGGACCTATAGAACACAAAATAGGCTGTGTTTAGGATATCAGAGAACTAGCCCCTCCCCAGAACCAGGATACCTGAGATACATTTTTCTCTATCACTCTATCCAGAGCTTATATAATTTGTCTGCAGCCTTGACATATACAGTATCTCGCCACCTGAAGGCTGAGGCAGTAGTAACCTGGGGTATGGCTGTATCTTGGTCATGGAATTTCTTTCTGAGAGAGGGAAGTTTGGCTTTCTCATTATTGGTAGACTATTGACTAAGACTATTAGTGATAAAAGTGATTTTTCAACTGGGAAATATTCCACTGATTTACTGCTGTATTTTATCAGTTTTCCCCCTATTTCTGTAGAACTGTATTTCATTGTGTTCATGGGTTTAGTGTAAATCTCAGTGAAGATTCACAGTCATCCAGGTGGGGTTATCTGGAAGTTGAGTCATGGCAATTGGACTTCTTTCTTATTAGGTTGAAACCTTTTGCTATTCATCCAAGTAGCTTCTACAATGTGAGGAGAGTTAGTAGCAGACCCCTGATATATCCTCCCCACTGGCTTCATTCCCCCCTGGTTTGAATAGGCTTGTTAGATGGACAAAGTATGGGGAATGGGGGTGAGTGAAAAACCCACTTCTGCAGTCCTTCTCCACCCATTGTCATGGGTCTCCTATTTATCATGTTGTCCTTTCATCCATCCCCAGAAAGATGAGGACCACACCCACCAGAAAGACCACTGTTAATGACCATTAATGACCCAGCAATGGGGAGGATATATCAAGAGTCTCCTACCAACTCTCCTCAGACTGAAAAAGCTACTTGAATGGGTAGCGAAACGTTTCAACCTAATAAGAAAGAAATTAGTTGCTATGACTCAACTCCCAGATATAAGATACATATGACATCCAGCCACTAAATAACAGACATTTGTTATGATACACTGGAATTCTCGATGTTCTTTCTTTTTCTTTTAAAAAGCTCAGAGAATACTTTATTATCGTCATATGCACGACAATACAGTCTCGTCATCTCATTAATTTCAATACTATTATTATATTTTATTCATCACAACCACATCCACTGTATTAAATTATTTTGCCACATGGAATCACTTTTATAAAAAGTCCTAGCTATCCTATTCTAAGAGGAGAAGAGAAAATATTTTAATTCTAATTCAGTAAATAAATTATATGGATAAATTATATCACATCTGGTTTTTCCAATGGTTTAAAAATAATGCCTATCATCATTCTAAAATGATATTAGTAAGATTATTATAAATCTATTCTCCTGCTGAATACATTGTTCTCTTATCTTACATGTTGTTTTTATCTCTTCAAATACCTGACATACTATCTCCAGCTGGCCCTTAGGTGAGGACATTTCTTTTGTCTTCCATAATTTAGTAATACAGAATTAAAGAAGTAGAATTCTGGATTTTCTGGAGGAAGTGGAATAAAAACTGAAAACAGAAAGAATAACTTAACACTTCTGCTTTATGCTTTACTAAATGTATGCAGATATGAGATATGATTGTAGATGCAATATACCTTTTTCTTCAAGGAAGAGTTGTTTAGGATTGCCAGATCTCAGAAATCTCAGGGAATCACTTCCCTTGTTTATTAGGCAAGGAATTAAATTTCAGGGCCAGCACATTGGAGGAGAAAAACGTTTGATTTGTGTGTGTGTGTGTGTGTGTGAGGTGACTTTAAAGCCTGCGGATCCATCACCACCCAGTCCCAACTGGAACCAGGGCTCACTGATTCAATGTGCAGGAGTTTTTATGTGTGTTTCATTTGGGCAAAATCAGTACACTAAAAGCTGAAGAGGAAGAGGGGGGACGGGACATGGAGATGGAACTGCTGGATGCTTTAAATTTGGGCCAACTGTGCTAGCTGTAGCAAGACAGAGACAGAAGCATGGCCACTGTAACCCATGAACCTTCTCGGTGCACAAGTCCTGGCAGTAACTATATGCTCTGGAGGTGGTGGAAGCAATAACTCCCACTGACTGGTGATCTGAGCTGACTTGACTTAATATGATCCTGCATAGGCTTACAAAATCATTCGGTACCTGATATCAAACCTTGCATCAGTATAGTCTGTAAAACATTGATGCACACTCATTAGTTATCCCTACCTACAAACAACTGACTGTTCAGCTGCAATCGGAAATGCCCTTCAGCAGGTGCTCGCACAATTTTTTTTGGAAGGTTGTCCACTTGAAGAGAAGTTTCCTTGAGATTCCGCTCCGCATGCAAATAATGCCACTGGTTGTCATTCAGGGCTGTTGGTGACTGAACAGTTACGTCTACTGGACCATTTCCAACATCTATTGTGAATGTGATCTCTTTCGGAGCTGGAAAAAGTAAGGTAAGGAATATGAGCAACTTTTATTCACACCTAGAACAATTAAATCAACACGAGACAGTGAAAGAGAACTGTTCCACACTATTGATGATCTCTATATATGGTGTGGAACAGTTCTCTTCTACCTTTTTTGTATACCAGTTCTTCAGTTTAATATTTCACTGAAGTTTAACATGGACATCTTATCACCAAAATTCACACATTTATTTATTTATTTATTTATTGGACTTATATACCGCCCCATAGCGCTACAAGCACTCTCCGGGCGGTTTACAATTTTTAATTATACAGGCTACACATTGCCCCCCCAGCAAGCTGGGTACTCATTTTACCGACCTCGGAAGGATGGAAGGCTGAGTCAACCTTGAGCCGGCTACCTGGGATTTGAACCCCAGGTCGTGAGCACAGTTTTTACCTTGCAGTACAGCGTTTTAACCACTGCGCCACGAGGCTCTTTTGTGAGGTTTGCAGCATATTTCAGATAAATAAAATACAAAAGCAAAATTTTAAATGTGCAAATGGCTAAAATTGCACATTTGAGAATTATGCACAAATATGGACCAGCATGCTTTAAAGCAAATGTGGAAGCAATGCACAAACATGCATAATGGATTTTTTTAATGCAGGAAAACTTTCCCAGCTATTTTTATGAGAAGAAAAAAAGTTAACATTTTTCTGTTTCTTTCAAAATACAAATGGAAAATAGTATAGCCGAGATTCAGAGAAGCACAACATAGAGATGTTCACATCACTGGTTAGCTAGTGATATCATGATTCCAGTTCAATGCTTCCTCCGAAACAAAACTGCTGAAAGGAAGGGAAACATTTGCAAGAAATGAAAGTGTTTGCAAAAACATTTTAACCCAGGCCTAGAATCCCTTGATGGATTAATATTAAATGACAAACTCAAACTGAATTGTATATTTTCATATGCATATAAATAAAGTGTTGAGACATCACAAGCAATCATTTGGGTGAACACATTATCCAAAATTAAACAGCTTTCAAAATGATGTGAGGGTCTCTAACATCTACTCAAGCCTGTTATTAAAGTAAAGCACAGTCGTGCCTTTAAAAATCCCCTTTCAACTCTCCTCTTTGAAAAACCAGTTTTTTTTATTCTGACTAAAGTCAGCAAGGTTTTCTCTCTAATGATATGAAAGGAAGCCAAATCTACAGGACGACCATCATACAGGTTATTCTGTAGTTTAAATCACTGGCATGCTAGAACCCACACAACTCAATTCTCTAAGGTTTGTGGGAAGTGAACAAACAGAAGGGAAGAAAGGTCACTGAGGCTTGATATTCTGAGCCAAATGAATCAGACTGTCTTAACACTAAATTAAGAGAAAATGCCTTTCTCAAAAGAAATGTGGGACAGATTTCTTGAGACTACAGAAACTGAACTCTGGAACTGAAGTGGAAGAAAAAGAAAGACAGAAACCCACATCTCTCTTGTCCCGTAGAAAAGAAAATATTTTCTACAAATGCCTTGTAAAATAAAGTATCTCCTTAGCAATCACCTCTTTCCAGGGCCATCCACTATGAGCCCATTGAGCATAAAACAATTTTTGTAAAATCAGGGCCTGAGACTCATGAAACATTCAAATTTCGGATAGAATGTCAGAGTCACTGCTGAGCTGTGGCTTCGGGCAGCACGACTCACTCTCCCCCCCACACACAGATGGTGCGAGACTTTAGGGTCTCATGAGAGTTGCTTGAAGAGAGGGGGGAATGCTAGGCTATATAAGGAGCATTCCCTCTCTAACTGTCCCCTTCTTTTTCTGGCTTGCCTAAAAGAAGGACTCCGCGTGATCTGGCTATTGCTGCGTCACCCATAACAGTTGCTGAAGGGCGGGAGGGTAGCAGCGGCTCCCTCCCACAGCTAAGTTATTGTTCATATTATCATTTACTTGCTGGGTTACTTCCCTCTTTCTATATTTGTAAAAGCGTGGTATCAGGCTCTAGGGGGAAGCATGTGGCAATGGCTGCGCCAGCAGTGCTTAGGCGCGGGCAGTTCAACGATTTATCAGGCCCTTTTAATAATAATAATAATAGTAATAATAATAATAATAAGAAGAAGAAGAAGAAGAAGAAGGAGGAGGAGAAGGAGAAGGAGAAGGAGAAGGAGAAAGAGGAGGAGGAGGAGGAGGAGGACGACAACGACGACGACATTGGGGGTGAGAGGGTAAGATCAGGGTGGTGGTGCTTCGGATCTAGTTTTTAGGTGGTTAACGGCCTTGGTTCAGCGCGAACCCTACCCCCCATTTTCTTAGTTTGGCTACACTTTGCTAAGCATGGCAACAAGGCATCGGTGGCTGATAGGAAGCTGCGCACCCCCCCTTTTTTCTGTCACATACCCCCCTGCACATAGCTAGATAGCAAAATACCGAAGGAAGGCTTGTGGCGATCGGGGCATAGGCTGAGGTAGTATTTATACAGGTTTAAACAAACAAACAAAAAATTAAATTAAATTAAATTAAAAGTACATCGTTTTTAATAATCATTATTAATAACAAAATTAACTATATATACATATATTAGATAAATAAAAAATAAAATTAAAAAATCAAGAAATTAATTAATAAATAATAATAATATTTAGGTACTAAGTTAATAAGTAAATAGCAACAAGTAAACTTGAATATTTCAATTAATTGATAATACAAGTATTAAATTAATTTTAACTTTATATACATAGGAAATTAATTAAATAGTCAAGCTGATGGTCTAGCTATTAGTCAGAGTAGGATTGATTAATCAATCACATTCTATTGAAGGATTTTTTAAAAAGAGAGAGAGGAAGAATCTAGGAAATCAAGATCCCCCATCTACTGGTGTAGCTGTTCCCTTATACATTTAGCAAAACAAACAAACAAACAAACAAACAACACACAAAACACTAAGTACAACTTCTTCATTTGGATTGGCAATCATATTCCAAGTGTAGTAATTGATTAAGGGACAGGAAACCTTGACCCACAATGGCATCGAGGAAGGGCCAGGTTAACAGGAAGGGAAAACAGCCGGCAAAGAAGAAGCCAGCTCCACAGTTTTTGCCCCCTCAGTTCTCATCAAATGAAGAATCCTGGCCTGTCTGGCAAGAAATTCAGGACAAAGTCTCCACGTTAGAGGCAGAGCGGCTGGTGAGGCAAACTCCACTACCAGCTGAGGTTCAACCTTGCAGATCAGCTAGGGATGCCAAAAGCCACTGCAGAGCTAAATGTAAAGCTTTAGCACATGATTTCATGACTCGGATTGCTGTTCTCAAGGCAGAGCAGCTATCTGAGGGGACCACCAGAGGTGATGTTGAGGGCACTTCTTCAACACCTAAGCCACGGTGTTCTGAGAGAGGTGGAAAGTCATTGACTCTGACAACAGCTGGGACAATGACTGAGTGCCAGGAGGTCCAGGAAGACGTAATTGAAGTTGGCCCCGACAGACCATATACCGGGGAGGGTCCAAGCATGGCTTCAATGTCTTCAGGTGAGTGAAACACCACATCGGGCACCTATTCACCGACCCCCACTTGGCCTTTGGCTGGCAGTGGTCAGTGCAATCCTGCAACATACACACCATGCAATGTACAGAGTACGGGGCTTCCTAGCACTGCGTGGCCATACACCACCCCACAATTTAGTGGATGGGGCATGCCATACCCCATTTTAGCTTTACCAACACAAAATAATATAGCTAGCGTAGGGGCTTAGCCTTACCCCTCAGTACCCAACACAGGCTATAATACTGTCCCATTGTGTGCTCTGCCATATGGGGATTATTCTATGCCTCTGGGTGATCATCTCACCCCGGCAACTAAATAAAAGATATAGAGGAAAAATATGTGAACTTATTTGAATTATTAAACAGAAATGCAGAGAAGAAGGACATAGATAAGGAAGATGAAAAGGATAAAGAAAGGCGCAGGAGAAAGAAACCCTAGAGGACATGTGCAAATTGGCTCCCAGGATTTTTAATCTATGCTGGCATGATAGTTAAGGCACAGCCATGGAGGGCCCAAGCTTTATTCCAATATTTAGACATAATTTACAGGGTGTATGTTGATTTTGTAGGGCAGGCATGGCTTCATTATGACAAATTGTTCAGAATGCACAGCGCAATTCACACTAACATGTGTTTGGATGAGCCCCAGACTGGATTGTGGCTGCAAAATGTGACACCCGCTAGGCCAAACATAGGGGACAGATTCGACAGGGGACATTTGAATAGGAAGGTAGCCCTTGGTCAAAATCTCCACCTGGGACTGGGGCAGGCGGTTCAACCCAACATTCTTTCCTGGGAGTACAACTCCAAGGGCTTTTGTACCAAGAGACCATGCTGCTTTAGGCACGAGTGCAATACATGTGGGGGTCAGCACCCCAACTCAGCATGTTTTAGAGCAGGCGCCCAACACCAGAACAAGGGCTCAGGAAGCGGCAAAAAGCCCAACAATGGCAGAGATGTGTCTGGAAAAGGGGCCCAGCCCAATTAAGGTCAAAGTTTTAGAAGCCTGGTTAAAACATTACCCGAGTAGAGAGGACACTAATTACCTCTTAGAAGGCTTTAAATATGGTTTCTGAATCCCAGCTATGGGGGAGCGCAGTGCATATTTTAAGCAGAACCTCCAATCGGTGCACAGAATGGAAAGCATAGTCCAGAGTTAGATAGATAAGGAAGTGAAAGTAGGAAGGGTTCTTGGTCCCTTCCCAATGTTACCTATGAAGAACCTGAGGTTTCCCCATTAGGTATCATGCCTAAAAAGGCCCAAGGTGAGTTCAGGCTTATCCATCACTTATCTTTTCCGAAGGGAGTGTCAGTTAACGACTCTATCCCACCAGAATTGTGTACAGTGTGATACACCTCTTTTGATGAGGCTGTGTGCATGGTTAGGAAATGCGGAATTTGGGCTGAAATGGCAAAATGCGATATAAAATCAATGTTTTGAATTTTGCCAGTGCATCCCAACAACTATGACCTGATAGGATTCAATTT